CCTGAAAAGCTTTAAAAATAAATAAATAAATAAAAAGAATACTGTGGCAACAATCCAGGTGTCCATCGATGTGTGAACGGATAAACAATATGTGTATATACATACAATGAAATATAATTCAGCCTTAAAAAGAAAGGAAATTCTGACACTTTTATACAAATGGGTGAACCTTGAGGACATTATGTTAAATTAAATAAGCCAGACACAAAAATATTGTGCGAGCCCATTTGTATGAGGAACACGGAGTAGTCAGTTTCACAGAGACTGAAAGTATTGATAGAATGCGGTTACCAGGGTCTGGGGGAGGGTAGATTGGGGAGTTAGTGCTCAGTAGGTTTAGAGTTTGAGTTTGAGATGATGGTGATGGTGATGGTGATGGTTGCACAACAATGAGAACGTACTTAATGCCACTAAATGTGTTCACTCAAAAAGAGTTAAAATGATACATTTTATGTTAAATGTGTTTCACCCCCATTTTTAAATGTTTTTACTTATTTTTAGAGAGAGAGGAGGTGAGAAGGAGAGAGAAACATCTATCAGTTGCCTCCCACATGCACTAGGAATTGAACCCACAAACTGTGACCTTTCAGTACAAAGCACAATGCTCAGCCAACTGAGTCACACCAGCCAGGGCCACTTTTTTTTTTTTTTTCAATTGATGTCTGGTCCCAAACCAGTTATATCAGAATCTTTCCAGAATAGACCCTAGCTATCTATCCTATATAATAAAGAGGTAATATGCAAATAGACTGTCATTCCAACACACAAGATGGCTGCCCCCATGTGGTCAAAGATGGCCACCACAAGATGGCCAGCAGGGGAGGGCAGTTGTGGGCGATCAGGACAGCAAGGGAGGGTGGTTAGGGGTGACCAGGCCAGCAGAGGAGGGCAGTTGGAGGCGACCAAGCATGCAGGGGAGGGTAGATGGGGGGGGGGAACCAAGCCTGCAGGAGAGGCAGTTGGGGGTGACCAGGCTGGCAAGGGAGGGCAGTAAGGGGTGACTGGGCCTACAGGGGAAGGCAGTTAGGGGCAATCAGGCCAGCAAGGGAGCAGTTAGGTGTCAATCAGGCTGGCAGGGGAGTGGTTAGGGGTGATCAGGATGGCAGGCAGAAGCAGTTAAGGGTAATCAGTCAGGCAGGCAGGTGAGCAGTTGGGAGCCAGCAGTCCTGGATATTGAGAGGGATGTCAGACTGCCCATTTAGACTCTAAATGGGCAGTCTGACATACCTCAAGTGGTCCCAGATTAAAAAGGTTGCAGGCTGGGTTGAGGGACACATACACCCCCATGCACAAATTTCATGTGCTGGGCCTCTAGTTAAGATAATAATAACAACAACTAGGTATTTCTCATGAGCACCCAGGGTTGAGAACACCAGGGTTCAGGACTTGGAAATCTGAAACTCACCATGCTGGCGGTCCATGGCGTCACTGAGACTCTGGTTATCCCATTCCCACAAAGGGCTGAAAGCGGGTCCTTTTCATTGCCGAGTCCCCTGGCCTGTTGCTGACTAAGGTGGCCTGGATCCAAGAATTAATGGAAGCTTTCGGAAGCAGAAAGCCCTGTGGCATACTGGGTGTTTCTCTGGCTTGTAATTGACTACATAATGCCTAAGCCGCCCCCACTTAATAGTTCAGGAAGAGGAGTGATTATCACTCAAGTGCTGTGATTTCAGGATGAGGTCGTGAGGTTCCCACTGAAATCTACAGTTCACGGCACTGATGGAGTCCCTCTGTCTATAACTTAGATGCGTGTTTCCGGCCTTTGGGCTGCCGCACAACTTTGGGAGATTCTCACAATGGGAGTTATGATAGAGGCTTACTATAAGAGAGAGGAATGGCATTGGGCCTTCGGCTCAGCAGCAAGCATTCTCTGGGCACCCCACTTTGCCTAGAACTGGGCTAGATTCTAATATGCCCTCAAGTGAACCACATTCTGTAGGGAAACAGACATACTAGGTGTACTGGTTAATAATGCAGATTGTGGCCAAAGCCGGTTTGGCTCAGCGGTAGAGCGTCCGTCTGTGGACTGAAAGGTCCCAGGTTCGATTCTGGTCAAGGGCATGTAGATTGGTTGCGGGCACATCCCCGGTAGGGGGTGTGCAAGAGGCAGCTGGTCAATGTTTCTCTCTCATCGACGTTTCTAGCTCTCTATTTCTCTCCCTTCCTCTCTGTAAAAAAATCAATAAAATATATTTTAAAAAATAATGCAGATTGTGTAATCAAAGAAAACACGATAATTTCAAGAGAAACATCAAAAGTGCTTTAGTCAAAGTAATGTCCATGGCTAGCTACACATTTCCCCATCTTTCAGGTAATTTGTGAATACTGTCCCAATAGAACTTTTCTTGTTTTGAGGCAAACCATTCAGAGGCCCAATTTTCCACTTCTTCGTACGTTTTGAAGTGCTGCTCAGAAAGTGCGTGTGCCATCCACCGGAACAAGTGGTCATCTGAAGGAGCAAGGTCTGGTGAACATAGGGGGTGGGTTAATACTTCCCAGGCAAGATCTTTTAAAATATCTTTAACTGGTTTTGAAGTGTGTGATGGGGCATCATCATGAAGCAAAATTACTTTGCCATGTCTCCTGGCACATTCTGGTCATTTCACGTTAAAGCGTGGTTCAAATTGTTATCTGTTGTCGATAGCAATCAGTATTAATGGTTTCACCTGGGTTTTAGAAGCTCATAATACACCACACCTTCTTGATCCCACCAAACGCAGAGCATTGTCTTCTTTCTGAAACGATTTGGTCTTACAGTCAATGTTGATGGTTGACCTGGATCAACCCATAATTTTGTGCATTTGGGATTTTCAAAATAAATCCACTTTCATCACCAGTCATAATATGATGCAAAAAAGACTTTCTTTCGTGCCTTTGAAGCAACATTTTACTGATGACTTTTTGGTTTTCCATTTGCCTTTCATTCAGTTGCTGTGGCACCCATTTTCCTTCCTTTAATGTCTTTTCCATTGCTTGTAAACGATCGGAAATTGTTTGCTGAGCAACGTTTAATCTTTCTGCAAGTTGTTTTTTAGTATGACACACATATTCATCCAATAATGCTTGTAATTGTTGGTCTTGGAACTTTTTCGGTTGATCTGGACATTCTTTGTCTTTCACATCAAAATGATCACTTTTAAAGTGTTTACAAGTATCTTGAAATGGAGCATGTTCACCATAAGCTTCCTGAAGTATACAATAACTTTCAGCAGCACTTTTCTTCAAAATAAAATAATGAATTAAAACTTCCTGCAAATGCTCTTTTTTTGGTACGAAATCCGACATTTTTAAAGTAAAAATATCTATGATGTTAACATCTTCAGCAAATTTGACATATGAAGTTTTGAAGCTTGCTGTCAATACAACAAAATAGCATACATATCAAATCGCATATACACTGAGTGGCAAGATTATTATGATCTCTGGATGCATAATAATCTGGCCACTCAGTGTATATCCTATATAATAAAAGGCTAATATGCAAATTGTCCCCTCGACCAGGAGTTCAATCAAGCAGGCAGGTCAGCCAACCACTCATGTCCCTTCCCTCTGGCCAGGCTGGCCAGACCCCACCCATGCACAAATTTATATATATATATACACACTAGAGGCCTGATGCACAAAATTCGTGCACAGGGAAAGTGAGTCCCTCAGCCCAGCCTGTACCCTCTCCAATCTGAGACCCCTCAAGGGATGTCCGACTGCCCCTCAACTGCCCTCCCTTGCAGGCTTGGTGCCTCCCAATTGCCCTCCCTTGATGGCTATCTTGTGGTGGCCATCCTGTGTCCACATGGGGGCAGGATCTTTGACCACATGGGGGCAGCCATCTTGTGTGTTGGAGTGATGATCAATCTGCATATTACTCTTTTATTAGATAGGATGTGTGTTTGTGTGTATGTGTGTAAGTGTGTATATACATATGTGTGTGTGTGTGTGTGTGTGTATATATATGTGAGTGTGTATGTGTATACACACATATATATATACACATACACTGAGTGGCCAGATTATGAAGATCTCTGCATGCATAATAATCTGGCCACTCAGTGTATATCAACATATGTGTAACTCCATCTATTGAAAAAAATCTGCATTAATGAATACACCTAGTATTCATTCAGCCAATATTTCTTAAGCTCCTACAATGGGTAGTATTTAAAATATTAAAAAGTTGACAGTGGCACAGAATCAGACAAGGTGCTCTGTTGGGCCCAGGTATAACCCTTAAATTGCTGGATCACAGTGAGGTCAGGGGGATTCAGGGGAGAGGCCAGGGTGGTTGGAACATTGGATGGGTAGCTTCTATTTACCAGACAATTCAGAAACATTTCGATATTTTAACATCTGGGAAGGCTATATGAGTAGGTGCCAGGTGAATGACAGCTTGACTTGGGCATAGAGGTGAACAGTTCAGCCCAAGTCCCTGACATCATGGATCAACCTTCTAGCGCAGGGGCTTTTTCCATCATAGACCAAATAAATATTTTAGGCCTTTTAGGCCTTAGGTCTCTGTCCCAGCTACCCAACACTGTCACTGTAACATGAAAGCAGCCATTGACAAGAGTAAACAAATGAATATGGCTGTGTGCCAATAAAACTTTATTTATAAAACAGCAGGATGAAGGTGGCCCATGGACCACAGTTTGCAAACCCCTGTTCGAGTGGGTGAGACAGTATACCCATTTATTCTTTCATTATACAAATATTTATCAAGCATCTTCTCCATGACAACGATTGCAGTGGCCACTTGAACAAGATAATGGTCTCTGCCCACACAGCACTTAAACTCTAACGGGAGAGGCCAAATCAGTCATGTTCATGTGCTACAGTAAGATGGAGGTAATCAGGAAATCGAGAAGGGGAAGTTAGCCAGTCTGGGAGTTCAGGGAAGGCTTCCTGGAGAAGGTGGTTACATGTTGCCTGCTCAGATCAGCCTGAGAAGCACATGTCTTTCCTTGTAGGTTGTCTGTCATCACTTGCTCTTCCCTTGTGTCCCCCAGTCTCTGAACAGCTACAACAATGGAGACGTGGAAGGCTCCAGGCGGCTTGGGAGGAATGCCAAGTGGGTGGCCATCGCCTCCATCATTATCGGCCTTCTCATCATCGGTATTTCTTGTGCGGTTCACTTCGCAAGGAAGTAAGTAGGCTCTTTGGAATCCCTCCCGATGTAGAAGAATGCCCATTGGGATCCGTTAGGCTGGGTTATGTTATTCTCCGGTAACAGACAATCGCAAACGAAAGCATTTTCCGTTTTTCTTCGCTGTGGTTACATGGGAAGTCTGGGAAGGGTCTCTCCTCCACAGGATCATTCGAGGCCCCGTGCTATCCAAAGCTCCAGCACATCATAGCTGCTCTATTTAGAACAGAGGTCAACAAACGTTTCCACTAGAAGGCCAGATAGTAAATGTTTCGGGCCTTGAAGGCCATATGGCCTCTATCACCATCTCAGTCCCAACTACTGAACCCTCGCCATTTTAGCACAAAAGCAGCCATCTATGATATGAATGGGCATGGCTGTGCTCAATAAAACTTTATTTACAAACCAGGTTGTTGGCCTGTGGACCATAGTTTTCCAACCTCTGATCTAAAATATGAGGCCTCCTCAGGCTAACCCAGGGGAGAGAAGACCAGAGAATCCCACCTGGGTTTCCACTGCCTCAGCCCTGGAGTGGCGACTGTCACTTAGACTCACAGCTGGCTAAAACAAAGCACCCTGTTCCACCTGACCATAAAAAAGCAGGACTGTGGGAGAGTAAATAAAATACCTGGGATTATTATTTGTTCTTCCTGACCCTACGATCTATTCAGTGTGTTCCAACATGGTATTGCACTAAACTAGCCAAAATGTTCTTAAAGGGCAGAAGGTTCACCACATGCTTTTGGTACTGCCAGCGAGCTCTCACCTCGTAAGGAGATGGATGCTGTTGATGTTTCTTTCTGGATTTGGGAAAATTTATTCAGATTTCTCTGATCAGCTGAGTTGGGCTCCATCTGCTAGAATCAATGACCTTTTCCATCAGAGGGTAAGGTCATGTGACGGACAACCAAGACTCAGAAATGAGATGCCCAATCCATCTCTGTCTCCCTGTACAACTCCTGGAAAGGCAGATAAGAACTCTGGGAAATTCTTTAGCTTCACGGCCAGAACAGCACAGTTATTCCCATGCCATTTACCAAGAGCTGAGTAGGTCGGCCTCTTTGGCTGAATTTCAGGAAGGGGTCAACGGGTGAGTGAGGAAGGAAGAGGACACCCTTGAGCCTGCCAGATCAGCCAGCCCACCCTGGGCAGCCAATAGCCTAGTAAACTTCCTATGGTACAAGCCAGACAGAGGAGCAATCAGGGCATCTGCATGGAGGAGGAGATGTCAAAACAGGAAGTGTCACAAAGGAAAGAATGAAAGGCTTTGGGCAAAGGGGGAACAGATGTGAGGCAAATGGCTGAAAGTTTCATAGGAAGTTAGGAGCGGAGGGGGGACTTGCAACCAGGAAGTCTGGTGCCATAGAATGTGGGGTTACTAGGACAGCCATCTGCTTAATGTCCCTAAACCTGTTTCTTCCTCTGTGTAATTCGAATGAAGGTAGTATCCATTTAACAGCTATTGTGAAGGTAAACTAGAGGATCCACAAAGTGTTTATAACAAGGTGCTGTTCCTTAGTTGGTGCACAAAAAATACAAACCATTTATTAATCCTGACACTACTCTTGTTACCATGACTGGGAGAGCATCTGAGACTTTAAGACGCCACTAAATCGAGTTCAAGGCTTTGAACTCATGAGCAGACTCAAAGGATGGTGTGTGTTCTGAGAGAACAAGGCCAAGTCCTGGCTTAGCTCCTAGAGACTTCGGGAAACACACGCTGCCCAGACCCATGCCTGCGCTGAGTGGGTTGTCACAGTGGCTGACACTCACACACCAGGGACTGCTCCAAGCCTTTACGTGAATTAGTCCTCAGTGACTCTTCAGAGAAACCCTAGGAGGGTTTTTATTATTATTCTTGTTTCACGGGTGAAGAAATTGAGGCTCAGAGAAGGGAAGAAATCAAAGATTTGCCTGATGTCTCACAGCTAGTGATTGGTAACGACAGGGTTTAAACCTGGAATATCTGGCTCGAAAACTATGTTCTTAGCCACAACACCACACAGCCTCTAAGCCAACATGTGCCTCCCAGTACACTCAGTAACAAAGGCCAATGGACTGCACTCGCCCTGCAGCTACCTCCGGGATTGTTTTACATGAGGCTGGTAGGTGAGGCTTCCACCTACGAAACAACATGTGATGGGTCAGAGCCCGGGAAAGAAAATCAAAAGACGTTAGGAGTCAGGCAAGGAACATACATGAATGAAGCAGCCTGGCTGTGGGACAATAGGGAGTGGTGGGGACTGGGGCGAATTAGAAAGCTCCATTTGAAGGGAGCAACCACCACTATGCTCCAGCTAATTGTTACCACTTAGATGCAGACTCCATGGGCCCATTTTCCCAAAGACATTGGAAAGCTGGGTTTTCGTTTCAAATCTCCTGGCTTTTAAATGCTGACGGTCAATTCACATTGATTAAATACATTGTGAGGGTCAAAAACATACAACCACCACAGCAGCAACCTGGAGATTATCTACTTTACAGTCTCTGGTGGACAATTTGCATTTCAAATTTCAGTTTGCTCTTTAGACCCCATCCAAGAAGTTTTATAAAGGACCCAGAAGTTTTCCTATAGGGGGACTTTGTCCATTTTTAACAGAAATATTTCTACCTGAAGACAAGGCAGTGATGTGTATACGCTTGTGACTGAGGCTTTGTTAATAGTTCTACACTGTGAGCGGGAGTCACTTCTCTGCTCCTGCCTAAGAGGCAGTGTTCACAGTGGTGAGAACATGGACTTCTGCACCGTTGTACCAGGATTCAAATCCTAGCTCTGCCATACAGACCACCCTGGCAAGTTATTAATCTTTCTGTGCCTCCATTTCCCTGTCTGCACAGTGAGGATAGAATCACTTCCCTGTCTGTAGGGTCAGGATCCTTTTCAATAGACACCTTTCCCTCCATGTGAACCATGAACTCAAAAATGTCTTCCAGAATTAGAACCCACGGAGCAACTCAAATTGAAAGGCTCATGCGTGCACGCGTGTGTGCGCGCGAGCGTGCGTGTGTGCGTGCGTGTAACACACTAGGGAATGGAATTGATTCTATCTTCTGTTAAGTCCAATGACAAAGCCGATTTCTCATCCTTTGAAATAAAATCTCCCAGCCATAGGGAGGACTGAATGGCAATTCAGAAAATTACAGCCCACAGGTTCCCAAACTCTGGCTGCCTCCGAGTTTCCTGAGGAGGCTCAGGGGGAGTTGGCATCCAAGCCCCACGCCGATGGATTCCATCCAACTCGCTATGTCAGAAGTAAGGCCCGGGGGTCTGCATTCTCCAGCCCCCCACAGCCACCCAGGAACCCAGATGCAGGTGGCCAGGAGAAAGGTTTTTGATAAAACCTGGCACTCGTCCTCCCTCCCAAAGGCAAAGGGAAGACAGTGCTAACCACTGCCAGTCATTAACAGAGTGGTCAGTTTTCATTCCATCAGCAAACTCATCCTCCTAATATGGTGTATCTAACTCCGGGAGTCAGGTTACTGCCTAGGAGATGTGCCTGAGGGAGGCTCTTCTGTGAGGATCTGAAAAGGCAGCCAGGACTTCCAGGGAGGGACTGGGAAAACCCCACGTTAAGGCTGTCCAGCCCAGAGACAAGACAAAGAGCCTTGAATATATGAGTTTTCCAAGTTTCCTTTATAAACTGTCTGAAGTAGGCTATTGCCTTTTTTTTTTTTAATGGTTCAGTCCTGCCTTTTAAATAATTATTCTGAATCCATTATCAATAAAACTGTAACTAATCTCAAAAGTCCCTGCCTTATTTAAAAAAAAAATTGTTTTATCTTTATCAAGAAAACTGTAACCAATCTTTTCTCCCCCAAATGATCAAAACCCCAGGTAGTTTATTTTCTTGGAATAGACTCAGGTCAGCATAGCCTTTACCCAAACTCATAAAAAGGTCTCCCCATCCTGATTTTACAGGGCACCTCAGTAAGCCACGTAGTGTTTGTGGGAGCCAGGTATGACAGTTTTGTGGCATCAGATCCATCAGAGCTGGGAATCACTGAACTGAAATATTCGACTGTTTTTGACAGAGCGCTGTGCTGACTAAAGACAGCCGGGAACGCCGCGCTGTGCGTTAAAAATGCTTGTTTGTCTTTCATACAAATCAGACCTTCATGTTGCAAGTTTTCCAAATGGAATCAGAAACTTGCAATCTCTCAAAGTCATACAATCATTGCTCTCAGGCTGCTAGGGAGAGTGGAAAGCACAGAGGTGAGGCATTTAAATACTGCAGACAGCTATTTATCAATCCTAATCGTTCGAGTCCCTGGCCACAGTCACATGTCCACAGGCTTTGACTTTCAGCGGATGCCTTGAGGATTAAAGCAAGGATGGTGACTCCAATCCTGTTTCTCAAAGCCTCAGAGCCACCTACGACAGATTCAGCTTGACTGCTTGGGGGAAATGCAGATTGCTGGGCCCCGATCAAGAACCTGGGCGGCCCTGAATTATACATTATCATAAGCTCATCATCCCCCAAATATGGTTCTAAGTATTCTAAAAGCCCCATTTTTCTAGGATTTTACCTGTGTGGACATATGCCACAAAACAGGATATTTTATTTTATTTTTAACATATCTTTATTGATTTCAGAATGGAAGGGAGGAGAGATAGAAACATCAATGATGAGAGAGAAGCATTGATTGGCTGCCTCCTGCACTCCACCCTGTAGGTTGAGCCCAAAGGGTTATGTGCCCTGATCAGGAATCTAACCATGACCTCCTGGTTCATAGGTCAACACTCAACCCCTGAGCCATGCTGGCCTGGCGAAAACAGAAAATTTTTTTAAATGTTCTTAGTATGTTTTTATTGAATTTTTTTTTAAGAGCGAGAGGAAGGGAGAGGGATATAGAGATAGAAACATCATCAATCAGCTGCCTCCTACATTCCTGCTACTGAGAACTGAGCCTGCAACCCGGCGTGTACCCTGACCGGGAATTGAACCAGTGACCTCTTGGTTCATGGGTCGATGCTCAACCACTGAGCAACACCAGCCAGGCAAAAACAGGATATTTTTACATTCCTAAGATTCCTGGTAGAAGCTTTCTATCCACTCTAGAAAGTGTACCTACTTCCCAAGTTTCCTCTTCTCTCTCTCCTTGTGGTCAGGCTCATGGTCACAGATCTGGTTTTCAGTGGAACTTCCTTAGCGGCCAAGCCCGTTGACCGTGACAAAGCTTGTGTGTGAGGGAGACGGGTGTTGTCTACCACAAGAATGACAAATGACAAGTGGTGGAGCTTCATCTTACGCAGGGGCTAGGTTATAACGTCAGGGCACAAGGTGAGCTTTTATAATCAGAGTTGATCTTGGAAGCATCCAGAGGGGGGGCACCCTGTCAGAGTCTCACACAGTATGTCCTGCTCAGTCTGTCAGAGCCAGTGTTTCCTCCAGGGCTGGAAAAGATGCTGTTCCTTGGGTTGAGCATCACTGGGACCACTCTCCAAGCTCACACTGAAGGCTCAGGAGTCATGTGTCCGTCCACGTTCCTGAGCATTGAGCCAGGGGTGGTCTGAGTCTCCAGTTCCGTTTAAGCCGTGACTGCTGTCTTCCGGAGCAATATGAACCGTTGGTATGCCATAAGTTAAACCCATATAATGCAGTTCCACTGAACTTATACCTCTGGTGGTCTTGTAGGTGTCTTGAGAGCCAGGCACACCCTACTGTGTCAGAAATGCTTGTCATTCTTAGAAAGAAGAGCTTTCGTGAGTCCAGGTTTCCCATCGGCAGGCACAGAATTAGCAGACAGTAACCATTCTGCACTGGTAACGCTCTGTCTTATGAACAGTCTGGAATGAGTCCGTTCCTAATTGCATTAGGATTGGAAGTAAGCGTATATATCAAGGTGCACAAGAAATTGGCCTTTTTGAAAAAACACAAAAGCAAATCCATCTTTTTCCCTATGCTACTGGCTGGAGTAAGGCTTTCTGCGAGTTGTTTTGCACAGATATGTCTTCAGAGAACTGCTGTGATTTATGATGAAAAAGAAGGTCAGAAGGGCCTCTCTTTGTTGGTTTAGATAAATTGATGTAAAGGCAAATCATCACTAACAATGGAAAGATTTTTGCTTTGAAAAGGATGTAAACGGGAGGACATGGACAAAGAAATCAGAATAAACATGAAAAAGATGTTCACCCTCACTGGTCACCAGGGAAACACAAGCTAAAGCAACAATAGAATACTCTATTTCCTTTGTCCGCCAGATTGAAGCAATTAAAAAGACAGATAATATCAAGGTCAGTGAGTGTGAAGAACTGGATATTCCACTGTAGGTGGAAGAGTGAGCCTGGACAGGCGTCGGGGGGTCCATTTGGGTGTGTCTATTAAACTTTAAAACCCACGTGCTCTCCCACCTTGCAATTCTACTTCTCAGTATCCACCCGAGAGACAGGGGAAATGGTTACAGAGGCAGTGGGTTTATCTGTAGGATAGAATACACCCTACAATTCAGACATGGAAATCTCCTTTGCTTGGGTTTATAAGGCCCCACATGCTCTCCTTCCAAGCACTCTCCTCTCGCTCCTCCACGTCAGCAACATCGAATTCCTGTCTTGGTGGAGCAACACAAATATGCTCCTGCCACAGGGCCTTTGCACTTGCCGATCCCTCTGCCTAGGATTTCCTTCCTCCTGAAGTCCACATGGCTTTTTCTTTCAGATACTTGCTCATATGTTACCTTCGCAGAGAGGGTAGCCCTGACCAACTTTGCCAAAACAGTGCCCACAGCCCACCCTTCTCCTCTCTGTCCCCTTGTCCAGCTTTACCTTTCTTCCTAGTGTCACCCCCTCAGAAATTATATGTACACATTTACTTATATATTTATATGTTTACTATACTATTTCAGATGTATTTGTGTACCAACCTATAGTCACTAGAGGCCTGGTGCACAGATTCATGCACCTGTGGGGCCCTTCAGCCTGCCCTGCACCGGAATCAGCAGTCCAACATCCCCATGGGGTGTAGCAGTGTGAAAGCAGCAGACAGCCAGGGAGGAACCAGAGTCCAGGCTGGGCAACACTCCGGTTTATCCTGGCTTACCACAGCCTCCTCTCAGTAGCGCTGCCACAGAGTGGAAGAGGCTTGAGCAGCCACAGCTGCACTCACCAGCCATGAGCCTGAAGTCTGGCGCCCGATGGTCAGCTGAGCAGCACTTTCACTGTGAAAGCACACTGACCACCAGGGGGCAGCCCCAGCATTGAGCATCTGCCCCCTGGTGGTCAGTGAACATCATAGCAACTGGTTGACCGGTCATTAGGTCTTTTGGTTGCTTAGGCTTATATATAGAGAGAGATGTGCTTTTATGGTGTTTCCTACTGATGAAATGAAAACTCCAGGAACATTCTCATTCCCGCCATTGCCTGTAATAATAGAACATAACACTTCTGGGAGCTTACTTTGAAGGTAGACTGTTGGGGTTTAAATCCAGGTGCTGCCTCAAAGTAGCCATGTGCCTTTTTAACCAATCTGTGCCTCAGTTCTCTCATCTATGAAATGGGGATAGCACAGTGCCATCCTCCAGCCGGCATGCTTAGTGGTCGACCTATCAACCAGGTAGTCACGGTTTCATTCCTGGTCAAGGTACATGTCCGATTTGCAAGCTTGATCCCCAGTGTGAGGTGTGCAGGAGGCAGCCAATCAATGATTCTCTCTCGTCATTGATGTTTCTATCTCTCTCTTTCTTTCCCTTCCTCTCTGAAATCAATAAAAATATATTTAAAAACAAAAACAAAAACAGCACCAACTCATAGGGCTGTGAAGATTAAACTGTGTAAAGCACAGTGCGGGGCCCAGGTCCTCACTCTATAGCTGCTGGTGGTATCATAGCAGCGCCTAAAGCACTGCCGGCTGTAAACACTGACTGGCTGAATGAATGAGTTATACACACAGACATGACATGATCCCATTTATGTAAACACACCCACAAGATGAATTTCTAAGTGCATATTTATGGGTTTAATGCAGAGAAAAATTTCTGGAACCAGCATGCCAAATGCTAACAGTGTTAGTAACCCTTAAGGAGAATGAGATTCAGAAATGCTCACAAGGCATTTTGCTGCATCTGTACCATTTATGGTGGTTGTTTTTTTGGGGGGAGGGTAGGGGGTTGCATGAGCCCCGGGTAAAATAAAATACGTTTCCAAACATAATCTGTTTCTCTAAGGTGCTCAGACTCCAAAGCCTGTGGTTCTGCTAGTCCGTGTCAGCACTGTTTAATCAAAAAGGACGCCCTGGGCGAGAAGGCTGGCCCGGCTCTTCCTCTCCTTCTCACTGTCTGTTTGCACCGCACAGATCCTGAGCAGCCGGCAGCCGCCCCTCGCATGGAGGTTGGACCTCATCCACACACACCCGAGCCGAGTTTCTGAGGAATGGATCCTGCCTTCCGACTGTGAGATCTTTTCCTCCAGGACTCTCCAGAGGCAGGTCCCTGGCAAATGAACTTTTAAAGTCCAAAGTGTAGGAAAACCAAGCAGCACAGCCAGATCCGCCAGCCATTGGTTTTTTGTTTTTTTGTTTTTAATCAAGCCTCACTGTTTCAGTTTAGCAAAAGCCATTGTGTCCATTCCTCTTCTCCAGAGATGAGCCTCAGGAAATCCCATTACTTTGTGGGAGGCTGGAGGGAATGAGCAATGGCTGTTATTTGCAATGTCAAGTCCAAACATTTGCAGCATGTTTACCGTTGTCTCGCAGAGCTGAGTGTG